CCCCCCGCCACTGCACAGCCCGGCTCCATATGGGTGCCCAGCGCCGGGGATGCACCAAACGCGCTGCCGGGGCGGTGGGGATATACGTTGACAATGCTGCAGCTGAACCCCACGCCTGCGGGTTGCAGCCAGCCTGCAACCACGTGCCGCGGGTGGCGTCTTCCACCACCTTCCTCGTCCCTGGAGGGCTGAGCTGGCAGGGTCCGTGCTGCACCGCTCAGCGTCACAGCGGTGTGTTGGTGAACCAGGCACAGCATGGGGCGGCTGGCGCGGTGCTGCGGTGCTGCCGGGCTGGGGCTCAGTGGGATGTCGGCTTGGCGTGGTCAGGCAGTGCCCCTGGCCCGCCGGGTACCCCGATGCCCACGGCAGGGGCCACCCACCGTGGTGACCCTGGCAGGAGCCCTTTAAGTGTTGGCAATAACCGCTTCTCTGGGAGCCGCTCCGGGGCTCCCGGCCCTGCCGCTGTCCCGCCAGCCTGGCCAGGCGACCACCGCTCCGGGACGACCTCCGCCTTGCTGCCAGACCGGGTCAGTACAGGAGCGGTGGCGACCGGGACACTCCCCCGGGGACTCAGCGATGCCGGGGCTGCGCCATGAGATGCGGCGGGGCCGGTGAGCGGGGCGCGTGGCGGGGGGCAGCCCCATGGGGCTTCGTCCACCTGAGGGGCCGGGCCAGCATGGAGCCAGCCAGCGCCCTCCCCAATGCCTCCAGTAACGGCAGCGGCGCCGGTAGCGCCCCACACTCGCCCGCGGCCACAGGGCTTATCATGTTGGCCGCCCTAGCCGTCCTGCTGGCCACGCTGGTGGGCAACGCGTTGGTGGTGGTGGCCGTCTCCACCAGCCGGGCCCTTCGGGCCCCACAGAACCTCTTCCTGGTGTCCCTGGCCTCAGCGGACATCTTGGTGGCCATCCTGGTCCTGCCCTTTTCGCTGGCCAACGAGGTGATGGGCTACTGGTATTTCGGCGGCCTGTGGTGCAGCCTGTACCTGGCGCTGGACGTGTTGCTCTGCACCGCCTCCATCGGGCACCTCTGCGCCATCAGCCTCGACCGCTACTGGGCCGTCACCCGGGCGGCCCGGCTCAACCTGCGCCGCAGCCCCCGGCGGGTGAAGGGGATGATTGGGGCGGTCTGGGTGGCGTCGGCCCTGGTGGCACTGCCACCGCTCCTGCGGGCCCAGCCAGGGGGGCGGGAATGCCAGCTGAGCCAGGAGACCTGGTATGTGCTGGCCTCCTGCGCCGCCTCCTTCTTCGCCCCCTGCCTTGTCATGGTCGCCGTCTACTGCCGCATCTACCACCTGACCGCCCGGCGGACGGCGGCCCTCCTCGCCGCCCGTGCCCCGCGCCCCGCTGGTGCCAGCAAGAAGGGGCCGGGGATCAGGATGCCGGGCTGGCGGCGCCGGAGCCAGCACCAGAGCATGTTGCTGTGCCGGCAGCGGCTGGTGCGGGCGCGGGAGCGGCGCTTCACTGTCGTGCTGGCCGTGGTGATGGGGGCCTTTGTGCTGTGCTGGTTCCCCTTCTTCTTCACCTACAGCCTGGGGGCTGTCTGCGGGGAGGGCTGCCGTGTCTCCAAGCCCCTCTTCAGCTTCTTCTTCTGGATCGGTTACTGCAACAGCAGCCTCAACCCCCTCATCTACACCCTCTTCAACCGGGACTTCCGCGCTGCCTTCCGCCGGCTCCTCGCCGTCCCCCGTCGGCAGCGCACCTAGGACCCCGCCGGGACACCGGGGACGCGGCCCCCAGCCCCGCTTGCCACTGGCAGCACCCTGCCCCCCCGCGGACCCTGGCCTGCCGTGCCGGTGTGCATCTCGAGGTACTTTTGGAAATGTGGGGTTGAATAAAACAAGACCAAAGCCTGTGCCCAGGGCTGGCATCTGCCTCTCGTCGGCACCCGTCAGCACCCCACCCACCCCCCTTGCAGCATGGGTGACCCACTGGTGGTGACAACTCGCCGTGGCAGTTCCCAGGAGTGCCAGCCCGCCCCGCTGCCAGGCGAACCCCAGCTCCTCTGCACGCCCTTGGCCCCCAGCATCCTCTTGCGCAGGGGACGGACTCCACGGCTGCTGGGGGGGGGACGAAAGCCCCCATGTGGCAGCGGCACTGGCACTGACCTGAGCTGGCTGTGCCACCGCCGCAGCCCAGTCCGAGCCCTGTGCCCCTCTGCCGGGGCTGTCCCCTCTGGCTGCCCATCAGCACGGAGCTGTGCTGCGCCGTGGGGGCTCCGTGGAGGCACGTACGTACCCCACGGTGGGGTATGAGGGGCGCAGGGCTGGGGCGGGACACCCCGATCCTGCTCGGGGGCTTCACTGGGATCTTGCTGCAGGAGGGAGAGGAGGAATGACATCCCAGTGCCGGCAAGGCCGTCCTCCCTTGGGAGAGTGTGGGAGATGGGACTGTGTGGGAACAGGCTCCAGCACAGCCCAAGGTGCAAGGGGCCACGAGGGCAACCATGGGGCGAAGACCTGGGGGCAACCACATCCCCCCCGGGGGCAGCAGCCGCCCCGTGCCCACCCTGCCCGGCTCCCTGCCCCGCTCTGCACAGACACCCGGGGGTCAGGGGCCGCTCCACTTCTCCAGCTTCGCGGCTCAAAATAGAAAATCTCAAAACATCAGACTTTCACTCGGCTAAAAACAGCCACCGGCGCCTGGGAGCTGGAGCCCAAGGAACGCCAGCCCCCGTCAGCCCCCACCGGGGTGGGTGCAGCTCAGCCATGGGGTCCGGGGGGCTAAAAGAGACGGGGTACTCGCAGTGGTGAGGACCCCGGGCCATCCCCTGCGCCCGCTGGCCCCGTGCTTGGAGGCTCGTGGCATGAGCTTTGGGGCCAGTGGAGGCTCCCAGCGGGGATCGTGCTGGGACGGGGGCCCAGCGTTGACCCCCGGAGGCGGCCAGCCCTGGTGGTTGGAGCCACGCTGGCACCATCTGCGGAAGGAGCTGCCCTATCTCGGCCGCCTGGCTTCCCCTCCTGCGGCCGCCTTTCGCCTTTTCACAATTAAACAGCATTTTGCTGCTAAAAATACCCAGGGAGACGAGGGCGCCCGATGGGGACTCATCCAGGCCAGCTCGGTCAGGGAGAGGAGCTCTCCCCGAGGGGCACCAGCCCCGTGGGCAGCACCCCGGGGCCTGCGGTGCCCTGGCTCGTGCACCCTGCCCTCACCCTTGCCCAGCACCGCAGGGGCCGACTGGAGGACCGGGCACCGTCCCTCCGCCTGGGCATGAGTGTGCAGCTCCGGGATGCTCGCAGGGCAGGAGAGCTGGGGACCAGCCGGAGTGGGGGGACGCAGGGACCCCCCTGCTTGGGCAAGGGGCTGCCGGCACATCCAGCCTGGGCTGGCATCGGGGCAGCATCCGAGCCACCGAAGGGAGTTTTGGGCTGATGTCCAAAACACCAAATCCCGAGGGCTGGATGGGGTCTGGGAGCTCCTGGACCCCCCCTTTGCATCTCCTGCGGCACTGCCATCCAGCAGAGGGGTCCAGCAGGTCGCCCCGGCTCTCCTGGGAGCCCTTTCCATTCCAAGTTTGTACAAAGTCTGGTTTATCCGCCACAGCGCGACCCTCATTCCTGCCGGGAAAGCGGCTCCCCTCGAAGCGCTGATTACTCCTGCCCAGCTGCAGCACCTGCGCTCGTCCGCCTGGAATTGCATCCTGCATTTTCAGGCTGTTTCTTCAGTTTCTCAAGATTATTTTGAATTACTCCCCTGACAAGCTTGGGTTTGGAGCCCTCTCCCTCTCCAGCCACATCTCCTCCGCAGAGCTAAAAAGCAGAGTGCCGGTTCCACCACCGGGCTGCCACCGGCTCCGTTGGGGACACCAGAACCCCCCCGGACACTCGTGCTGCTCTGGCAGCGCCCCGTGGCCGATGACTCTTGCCGGTGGTGGGAACGGTGCTGCAAAATGCCAGCTGGTAGGAAAGCGAAAGTAGCAACCGAAGAGTTAAGCGTGCAAATGCATGGAAACGAAGTCATCGCGTTTGAGGCTCAAAATAAGTGCCACCTTTAAAAGGGAAGCAGCTCTAAAAGGAGAAAGCCGGCAGCGTGAGCTCATCCCTGACGGCAGGGTGACACGGAGATCACCTCCGAGGTACGGCGGGGCGAAGCAGCCCCCTCCTCGCCATCGCCGCGGGTTCACAACCAGAAGCGACGCCTGATCCCCAGGGGATGCTGGAGGGCACGGCGGACCGCAGGCAGCACCGACCGCACGGGCGATGAGCGCGTGGGGTAATTAGCGCTGTGGTCAGCTTCGCTACAGCCTGAGGACTTGAACCTTTTCCCTCCCGCTGGCCAGCGCGGCCGGGCTGAGCGGGGCTGGGGGTCCCAGCCTGCTCCCCACCACCAGGCCACCCTTGACGGAGGCCGGCGGAGGGACGTGCCTGTCACCAGGGGCTCCTCCGTGCCCCGGCCACTGCCATCAGAGGCAAGGGCAGTGCCAAGGGCAATGCCAAGGGCACCAGGGGATGACGAAACCCCAACGCTCTGCCGCAGCGGTGACCGGGAGCAGCACCGGCGCTTGCGTCACCCACCCCGCAAGACGGGGATTGACCAACACCGGACACAGGGGTGCTTGAAGGACGTGCTTGGAGAACTTTACTGAGGCCGTGGCAAA